CTGCCCTTCGCGTGGCGGAAACGTTGCGATACCCATCCTAACCACTTTTCCGGTTAATGCACGGGGCCAATATATGACGAGGACCATTCTACCCGCTTTGTCGATTGACACTGACCATTGTGTGCGCACACTTATGCCGCGTTATATCGATTTCGCGTTAAAGAATCTCTTTCGATTTGCATTCATGGGATTTTACGCTGTGTGAAATTGTATAGTGTTGCTAGTATATATGGGTGCGATTCGTGCATTGGCTGCATTCGGATCGAAGTGGAGATATATTTTCGCCCATTTTGCCGTGCAAAAAGTTTTAGATCGTTTAGTTAGGTTATCATATTGGTACATTGAAAAGCAAGGTTAAAATTATTACGATTAACTGATTAGGAAGATTATTTGTTTTTCAGTCTTTTATTGATTATTTTATTGATCTTACGAATAATTTATATTGAATTTTTAAAACTTGTACAAGAAAACATTCAAATTTGACGTTGAACAGTTCATTATGTAATGTATGTAAAAATCTAATATATTTGATATGAAAGATATATAATGAATATTGTAGTGTCATATTGTTATATTAAATGTTATAGATAAATTTGTCTTTCGAATAAAAATTTTTGTTACAACAATATATTTAGAATTGCTAAAATTCATAAAAGACATAATATTGGAGAAACGTTATTTGGCGAAAGTGCGTTGGACGAATGTAATGGAATTTCGTATTTTATTTCAATTAATTTTGCCGTGATAATTTGCAAAATGTGCGGTCGAGTATTAATTTAAGCAATGACACGATAAATCGCGTATTAAATTGTAACGTGTTAGGTAACGTTTTTGATAGATAATTTGAATTTACGATCTACCGACTCCATTAGAAGCTGGTAAGTACTGCTAAATTATTAATGTGCAGTTAATTGGCACACTTTGCCAAAATGTTGGTAATATTGCGAAAAATCGACTTATAAAATATATTTATGAACCGTGATACAATACTTTAATACAATTTTCATCGTCACTTTTATTCAATCTATCATGCTCTTTTAATTCTAACATTTTCTAAAACTTTCTTAATTTTAATTTCTATTAAAATAAAAATTATTTCATTGAAAACTTGTGAAATTACTATTCTTCTGGTCGATAAAACTTTGGATAAACATCCATTCAAACTATTATAAAAATGCAATAATCCCTCATTTAAAATTTAAATATAACTTCCATTAAAAATTTATTATATTACGTAATCACACTGTTTTGAAAATGATCCTTACGAATCCAAATACCAACGTATTTATCCTCCACGAGAGAAAGAGAGAGAGAGAGAGAGAGAGAGAGAGAGAGAGAGAGAGAGAGAGAGAGAGAGAGAGAGAGAGAGAGAGAGAGAGAGAGAGAGAGAGAGAGAGAGAGAGAGAGTACGTACGTACGTACGTACGTACGTACGTACGTACGTACGTACGTACGTACGTACGTACGTACGTACGTACGTACGTACGTACGTACGTACGTAC